TGAGGAAAGGAGAAGAAGCCGCAAAAAGAAAGTACAATGAACTTCTGAGACATGCAGAAGAAGTCGCAAAGATAAAATACAAAGAATACCTTAGGAAAGCAGGAGATGCCGCAAAACGAAAGTACGATGAATTCCTGAGGGAAGCAAAAGAAGCCGCAAAAAGAAAGTACAACGAGCTTCTGTTGCAAGCAGAAGAAGCCGCAAAAAGAAAATACGAAGAATTCCTGAGGCAAAAAAAGGAAGCTTGGAAAAAGTTCAAGACTTGCTATGAAGGCTTTATAGCCTGGGTAGCGTCCTTTGATCCGGTAAGGCAACACTTTATTTTAATATTCTGCCTCTCTTTGAATGAATATTTCAAACATGAGAATGAGAAATGAGTGAGAATTCGGAGTTAACGCAATTTGTTATAGTAAGAAATGATATAGCCAAATCTTAATTCACGACTTTCAAATAGAGGGCGGAMGTTCACGACCGTCAATATAGGGGAACTTGTGACGAATCATGTAAACGAGACTTCAAAGGCCTTACATCTAAAAAACACACRAAGATCGCATGTACTCTTCCAAGAAAACATCGAGTTTACTCTAAGGACACTGGACTTTGAGACCTTGGGTGCCACGTACCCGGTGCCCTGGTCGGCGACCATGACATATCGCACTATTAAGTCCTGAATAGGAGGCCAAATAATGACTACATGTTCTCCAAATTTGAATAGAGCGTCACATATAGAAATCAACGAAGGACTTCTTCCGTMCACAAGACTTTGGGACTTTTGTGGATGGCTAAGGAAGATGTGTTTACATTCACAGCAAATACAACTGATGAGGGCAGCCCACTGATAAAACAAAGCTTAGTTGCTAAAAAAAWTTCAGCGCTGCGGCAGTCTTGGTTYTAAAGTTATTGGCATTTTACTAGAGGGCGGYTCAATTTGCATGCACTCGGATAGTTTAGACCCCACCCTCTCTGAGGTATATTAACAATACGACATACGCTTTTGTTATGATAATCATTACATATGTAGCCTTGTGAGTGYGGGGCTTGAGTAGAGTGTGAGTCGTTGGGGATTTGGGACGCGTACTTAAGGGCCGGTCGCTCGCAAAGGAGTAGAAGAAATAGCAATCATTGGTCAACGAGCGGTTTTGCCTATATAGAATAAGAAAAGGTCCGAACCCGAAGCAGTTTGACAGCAAAGSAAAGGACGAATATAGTTACTGTTGAAGGATATTGACTGTCAGCACTGTTACACATACATGAGTAGCGATATGCAAAGATCCTTCATTCATAGTTTATACATTATTCAATCAATCATGCGTCCGTCTATACTAATTTAGCCTTGATATATTTATTTCATTTGTTTATTTATTTTTTTGTCAACTATTTGTAGAATGATATGATTGGTCCTGTTGGTTACGGAGACGCCCGGTTTGTTGCTGGAGACATGGTACTTAATTACAAGATTCGTTTTGAGAACGAYCCTAACGCAACAGCACCTGCACAAAGAGTGCTTATTCGTCACAAGCTGGACTCTGACCTTGATGCAAGAACATTCAAGATCGGTACGTTTGGATTTGGAAACTTTACGAAAATGAAAAAAGCAGAGAGCCCTTTGATACAGGTATGAAGACCTTTCTTTTTCGCACACCTTAGAGTACTATTGTTTACTTAGTTTGATGTCGAAAATAGGAAAAGCTGGATTTTGTGAGAGCCAGAAACCTTTACGTGAAGCTGACAGCAGGGATAGACATCGTTAACAACGAGGTGAACTGGGACTTTCAAAGCCTCGATCCCAAAACAGGTACAATTATATTTTATCCACGATTGRATTACCCTTTGAAGGTGATATTTATGATTTATTACTGTAGGAGAGCCACCACGTGATCCACGACGTGGTTTTCTGCCACCAAACAATGGGACCACGGGACAGGGATTCGTCACATTCGCTATTCGCGCCAAGAAAGATGTCAAACCGCTGTCCAGAATAGATGCTAAAGCAAGCATTATATTTGATCTGAATGAGCCTATAGAAACACCGCCGATATTCAATACGGTAAGAGCGCACGGTGGCATCAAAATAATTCTAATTGACCAGTTTCATTATTTCTGTATCGGTATCATCGAAGTATAAGTATTTTGCACCTACACCTAAAGAAATCCCAGTACAACAGTTTATCGTTGAAACTGAAAGTTCAATTTATGGTTTAAGCGCTATAGCGAGGTCTGATGTTAGAAACAAGGTCACCAGCATATTAGCTAAGTGCTAAGCGGCCAAAAGATAATTTGTCAGCTAACGAAAGAAAAGCGATGGTATCTTTGAAAAATAACAAGGACATAATTATCTTAAAAGCGGATAAAGGAAATTCTACCGTCGTGATGGATCGCACGGAATATGACCAAAAGATGCTGAATATGTTAGAGGACACTTCCACATATAAACTGTTACCAAATGACCCTGCAAAATCGACTGAGGCAAAAATGAAGACCATTTTGTCAAGTATGAAAGAAAGAATGTCAGAGGAAGTTTACAAGGAGTTAAATGTCACTGATGGTACAACACCGAGAATCTACGGGACACCAAAGATCCACAAAGAAGGTACGCCTTTAAGACCAATTGTTAGCTACATTGGATCCCCTACCTATCAGTTGTCGAAGTACTTAGTCGCGATCCTATCACCTCTAGTTGGTAATAATGATCATCATCTACGTAACTCTAAAGATTGGTCTGACCTAGCACAACAGTGTTAGTTTTAAAAAGGGATGAGGAACTCGTATCGTTTGATGTTGTTGCTTTTTTCACATCTATCCCTACAAGTATAGCTGTTGATGCTGCAAAATCGAGACTTGACCAGGATGACAATTTAAAAGAACGTACTATGTTAACACCCACTGAGATTTCATCGTTGATGTCGTTCTGTTTAAATGCTGCTGAATTTTCTTTCAAGGGAAAATTCTACAAACARATACATGGAACCGCGATGGGTTCTCCCATATCTGTGGTTGTAGCAAACCTGGTTATGGAGGTCTTGGAAGTAAGAGCATTAGAGACTTTCATTGACCCACCAAGAATATATAAAYGTTATCATGGCCAGAAATTCCGGACATTTGAGCCCGGGACGAGTCAGCGGGTTTTCCCACCAAAATATAGCTTTCTACAAGTTCCCTTGAGGTTTGAACTTTTGAAGATCAATTTTTCTACTCTTGTGCAACGATCCTTTATGTTAATACAATACTGGGCTAGAATCGAAACGTTCAAAACATCGACAAAAGAGTATTGGGATAGCACGCCCTGATCCTTAAGTTCATTAGTGGCTTGTGAGGTGCTCGTTTGGAATGTTCATAGTGTAAATAATATTATTTGCTGGAACGCACCTTTCCCTCAGGTATTTTAAACAATGATCATCAGTTGATATTATCTTTTGTTTATACACTTGTACATTTCTAAGGAATTTAAAAGGTCTGACATTGTTTACACTAAATAGCGTAGACTTGATCTTTCGTTCGTATTTCCCGCTATTTACCACTGCGCTCACGGCGCCAGTAAAAACCACCAAAATTAAAGCAGTCCCAGTCTGAAAACCACGTTTCTAAGGTTTATTTTGGTACCAAAAATGGCGAATAAAGTGAAAAGAAATTGGAAGATCGAGGCCAATTATTCGCGTGAAACAGGAGTCTTCGCCAGCCATTTCAGCGTCAAGTTAGTGTTTTCAAATTGTACGATTTCTAGTACCAAAAATGACGCTGTTGATCGTCTTCAAAATAGCTGAAAATCGCTGTGTTCCTACCTCAATATGTGGACTTTGAGAAATGATCTATGGAATATCAGGACGCTGTTAACAATATTGGATTTATTTGGATTTCCTACAGTGGAATCAAGAATAGTTTCCCATTACGAATTCATCTATGGAATCTTTCCAGTTAAAACAGATGAAATGCTATTCTCAAATATTTTTTTTTGATACAAACATTTCTTTGTAAAATTTACAAACATGTTTTTATGCATTTATGCGAAGAACCGCTGCGATTGCGGGCTCAAATGTCCGGATTTTCTGGCCATGGTTGACGATACAATCTGCGTCATAAGGAGAGAATATATTGAGCTGTTCCATCAACATCTGAACAACCAAGACAACCACATTAAGTTTWCTGTAGAGCGATATTCTTCTACTGGCATCCCGTTTTTAGACACTCTTAACAAAATCCTAGAGGACGKGTCCATTGAAGTTTCTGTGTATAGAAAAAAGACGCATACAGATAGATATCTCCAGTTCTCAAGTCACCATCCTTCAAAGTACAAAGCAGCTGTAGTACGCACCTTGTATCATAGAGCAGAGAACTTGCTCATTTAAAAAGAACGTGGACAATGAACGTACACACATACAAAGAGCTCTATTGGACAATAGTTTACAAAATCTAAATTTAAGAAGGCAATGTTTGCACAGATTCTGAATTCTTATCAAAATGATTCTTAGTTTGCTTTTCTTTGAATCAACAATTCTCACTACTTTAAAAGACTATTGAACTCATTTATTTTCTCGTTTTTCTGTGTTTTCTTTTTGTGTTGTAGTTATTGTATTCTCTTCAATCATACCTGACCTTACATTGTACTTTAACATAGTTGCTAATTGTTTTTAATCAGTCTACCTGTTACAATTAGCATGTGTCGTAAACTAGTTTTAATTTTAAATTTTGTAATCATCTTTGTACTTAAGACACAAAATAAAAAATATTGTATTGTATTGTATTGTATTATGGATATCCTCGCCAGTTCATAAAGAAATTCAGCAAACAGTCATCTAAGAAAGAACAAGCATCTGGTGAAGAAACCAAAGGCTATGTCACCTTACCGTACGTCCAAGGTGTAACGGAGAAGATACAACGAGTATTGCAGTCGTATAACGTAAAAGTTAGCATAAGACCAGCAAGCACCTTGAGAATAATTCTCTTCAGTAAGATTAAAGATCCTTTGCCAAAAGAAAAGAAGACTGGAGTGATTTATTCCATTCCATGTRRTGATTGCGATACCGAATACATTGGGGAGACGAAAAGATCTGTGGGTACGAGAATTAAAGAACATCAGTGTCCGTCTACAAAAGACCGAAAGATCAGCGTTATCCGAACACGCGCTTAGAAGTGGACACTCGATAGCATGGCAGGATGCTAACATCTTGGAGACGGAAGAAAGATGGCACCAGCATAAATGGGCAGTGGCATGTTATATCTCAAGAAACAAGAACGCTATTTTTAACAGAGACTCCGGCAGAAAACTGCCTGATAATTATATTTCTCTATTGAATTGAATATAGTGTAATTCTAGAACACAACCTTAATTATAGCTCGCGCTTAATATTTGTTTTTGTAAGCGCTCGAGGATAATGTTGTTTACGCCATATCGTGCGTGGATTTGTAACGTTTTTTAGTGTTGACTCCATTAACCCTGATGATGGGCCTAAGGCCCGAAAGCTTGGTAATAAAATAACTTATTGGTTGATGAAACAAGATCAATGATATGTCTAAGCCAACCAACAAACAAATATTTGATATAAGTATTTTGTTTATATTTTTATGTGTCATTTTCATTTCTCTTCCG